TAAGACCGGTAGGATAGTATATCGGGGTGACTATGGTCGCCAGTACTGAGGCGAACTCAGCGTCTGTTTATTTGAGCTACAGTTGCAGCTAGAAATATAGAAGATAATCCTTCCCTAAGTAAAACGTCATCTATCCATAGAAGGCAACCGGCGACCTGGAAATGATTCAGGGAAGAATTCCGGCTAGCACTCAGGAGTATACCAAAGTCTAAGGGGGCATGTATTGATCCATCTCAGAGCCCGGGAAACCAGTAAAAAGACCCACAAAGTCACAAAATCCTTAAATCTGACGATTCCTACCAAACAACCATGAAACGTTACATGAAGTCAAGTCCATAAATTGCTTTGTTACATTATCTGGTGCAAAGTCAGTCACCAAACGCCCCACAAAAATGAAGATACGTATAAATGCACACGGTGTATGGAGTTAACTCAAGACAGTGAACAAATCCCGGTCCGGATAAGATAAAAGGCGGGCAAGATAAGGATCTATGGAAGAGTTGTGCACTTGCGCATATGCTTGAACGTGTTTGTTCATGGGGCGAGTAGAAGAGATTGAAATACCTCTCGATAAGGTGGAGTTAGGAGGGTAACAGGAGTCAGACGACATTTTGTGATAGTTTATCACAAACTTTGGTGTGTGTGTGTGTGTGTTAAGAGACAATGTGATTATGTGTATTATGCGAATTCTTCCGAATTGTTGGGATGTGGTAAGCCCAAGATAAAGTCACCAGCATATCTTGTCAGCAAAGAGTCTTTGAAAACAGTTATGAAAGCTAGTTATGAAAGCTAAGTAAGTGGAAAGGAAGAAAGGAGACAAAATGACTCTTTGAAGAACCCTTGATTCGGAAGCTAACGCTGGGGAGAATTTGCCACCGTAGCTTGTAAACTGGTTTCTATAGGAAAAGTAGTCAGTTATCAGGGCAATAGTGGCCGGAGGTACTCCGTGGTTTGCCGGAATAGACAGAAGCTGAACCCTATCAACACCTCCAGATACGTCACTGTTGTCTAATGATCACTTTCTTACATCTTTGCATTTGTTATCGAGTGATGAAAGTACAAATACACTAGGGAAGCTAAAACATCAAGGTTAGACCGTTTACGACAGTAGGCAAATTGATTAAAATCAACTATGTGCAATTGTGGGAGCAACTTGCGTAACATTATTCTTTCAAATACCTTCAGGGTGTTTGCAGTACAAGCTATGGGACGGAATTTGGTTGATATTTTCTTAGGAATTGGTGTACTTCAGGTGTACTTCTGTTCTCTAGCAATCCGGCACTGAAAATTGGGGAAACAGCGATTGAAGATTCTGGACAGGATAGGTGACAGAGCACTGGTCCATTCCTTCAGCACAGATGGATGTAATCCATCTGTCACCGGCTTTATGAGGGTTTTTTGTTTGTAGCACTTCATATATTTCTGTTGGGTCGGTCACCCACGGAATAGTGTGAGGAATTGAGGAGGGGGGGACTCAAGTCTTCCGACAGACCTTGGGTTAACTAGGCCTATGAATCCATAATTTATATTTTCTATATTCACAGACAGAGAGCCCCGAAAAACTGTTGATGTATTCTCCAGGTTTCTCGAGGGTCCTTGATTGAATGAATATGTTGAGCACAAACGAAATTTACACGGTGAACTTCAAGCTTAATAGACTTTTATTGGGTTTTCATCAAACGATATCCCTTAGATTTAAGCGCGCGTTCCTTTTTGACGCAGATGTTGTACTAACAGAAGTAGATAGGGATTGTGGATCACAAATCACGGTCGCAAATAAAACATATCATCACACTAGCAATCGTACGCTGGAATCTCCCGTCACAGAGAAGCAGGAAAACGGCCATAGAAGTGGCGATTATTTATTGAGGAAAATTAATGAGATTAAATAACACGTCTCCAACAATGGCCTGCTTGTATTCTTGACGTCGTACAGCTTTGCCTGTACCGCACGACTTCTGATTGGTAGGCACGATTTGCCCGTGGTTTGTTGTCCAGTGACTGCAGCTCATCGCTCCGTGGCCGGCGTTATCCCGTAGGCTACGGTCACCATAGTTGTTTTAGGGGAGAAGTAAAACGATCCTACCGAATGTAGAGTGTTTCCCATGGACAGCTGTCATCAAAATAGAAGTTGAGATAGTCAGTTAAGGAAAGAAAGTAGATGTATCAGGGTACCATTTTTACGGAATTCCAGTACATGCTTCAATTGCTCTACATGCGACGGTATTCACCATATAAAGACTAGTTGTTGGCACCCACTCATTTTCCGAATGGTTAATGTGAGATTATTATTATTATCTATCGCGTTTGGGTTGAAACATGAAATAAATTTTCAATAATAACCTACTTCATCAGGAAAATAGCGTCACTAATTCCTTCATGCACCGTATTTACTGGTATTTAGCTAGCCTCCTTTCTAAGTTTACAACTTAAGAAAAAGATTAACACACTTCTAGTGCAGATTTCTTCAACAGTTGTACAGCTAGAATCTTGTTCTTCATGGGAACCTTTGCATCTTCGTTATCCTCTCTGTCTACAGCCAAATTCTGTTTATTCCAGATACGAGAAGTTCTCAACTGGTTTTTGTTGTGACATCTTTTCCCAACGATGTGATTTTTCGTTTGTTTTTGTTAGAATTTCAAATGCACTTATTTCCATGGAATCGTATTTAGTGTGAACATCATGAATCTTCACCGTATCACCAAGCCCTCACAGGGCTTTTTGTAATCGACTGATTTCTGAGTTTTGCTATCGTGAAAGTGGAAAGCGGTTACATTTAGTGAACTTATCAATCGTGTTACCTACGAGCGCGAAAAGTCACCTGATTCTATACCTTTGCAACTTTAAGTGGATCCTGCCAATCGCACTCAATTGGAAACCCCGACAAGATGATTGATGTTTTGACCGTCAAATGTCACCTATTGGACCGGGTCTGTCTAAACCCCCTCCAGTTCGAATGAACTAATTTCTCGGTAAACAAATAAAAGTGCATTTTTAGTGAGTTACCGAGCAAGGTTGAATGTTTCGGGAGGGGGAGGGGTGAGTCGAGATAGGCCGTTCTCTCCCCGCCCCCCCCCACACACACCCGTTCCACCCGGGAACGTCATGTTCATGATCGTTGATCGAGTGTGCGTCATAGATACGAATGAACTATATATTCAATAAACGGAAATAGAAATGAAAAAGAAAAGAAAAAGAAAATTGTAGGAACGGTCTAGTCACTAGCTAAAAGCTATCACTTTGTGGAGACTCTTATATTTTGGATCTACTAAAAATTCGCTATTTTCATTCGTGTTTCCATCATAGGCGATGATACGACACTTGGACTATATACATATATATTGGTTCTTGGTTCATCTGAAAACCGGTAAATGTGGCCACCCATAGGCACCATATCCTGCAGTATTTTACCCAATTGGTATGACGTTTGCTGGGGGAAAATGATTCGTGTTGTTTGTCACCCAAGATGTTTCTCCCATTAACACACCATTCACCTGATTAGTTGTTCGTGAGCAAATTCATTGATGAGTAGAGTGTGGTTGTTTTTTGTATACTAAGCTAGTCAATTCGTTATTCAGAAAGATCCAACTTGGGCACTATGTCTGGAATTCCCTAAAATATGTCAAATTTCACATTCATTTGTTCAACAGATCCCTTCTCAAAAAGAGAACGCGAGGTGAGTTGTTATTTTATCATAGTAAATTATCGTTCCATTATTACTTCCACCCACTAAAATCCACGTTACTTTATCTTATGCAATAAGGTTGTTACTTCTGTTACAGATTTGAAAACAGTTGGTCAGTGCATGATTCCAGTTTTAATGTGTGTAACTGTGCATCAGATCACCTGCGCGTACAGACTCGGTGGACACTGTATGTGAGCGAATCTATTAGGAGAATAAAAATGTCCTACTTTGTTATTAACCGATAATCTTTCCCTGCACTCTTTCAAATAAGTCCATTCCGCTTACACCTCGCATATTCGTATCTTCTGTGTACCAGTAGTGAGTTTGGTAGCGATCGGTGAAGGTGGAATACCTTCGCCAGTGAGCCCGGTTACGAGTCAAGTCTTCCAGGGTCCCTGTGGTGATTGTGCAACGAGTATACGAACGCACCACGGTACAGCTCCCAGCTACCAAATCAGTAAACAGATTTCCCAACCAATCCTGTGTTCTCAAGTGGTATCAATCGGATTGAATGAATGCAACAAGGCAACCTAATGAGCCATATCGTTGTCGATTGGACATTGAAGAATCGACCAATGATTGTTTGATGCTTGTGATAGTTATTGGCATGATTTTCCGAATAGAAATAACTGTATCCATAGCTCCCGTTGGTTCTACCTGATTTTGCGCTATTCGGTGGCTTTTCCGTCCGGACCCTAGTTCGCCCTATTCGATTCAGATTCAGATTCCGAATGCCATAGCTCCCCACCGGAGACTTTCGGGATTATCCATCCATGTGCGGACTTGAATCTTCCGAAATGCCGTTTTCAAATGATTCCTCATCATTATATGCTTTCGACTTTGCCGTATGTATATACCAATCTTCACCGACATCCGTGTATATAGTGTATACATATACCATCGACTTGTGAACATGCATGGTGTCGACGCGACTGCATTATTAGCAGGACCATGTTAATCAAAATCCATACTGTCACAAATCAAAGGAAAAAGGAACAGCTCATTTCATTGCTACATGCAACACTAATGACAAATCCAGCACCAGTCAGAATGACAGCAGAATAACCACTAGCACTTCGAACTGTGAGTAGATGCACAGTGCATATGCGGGATTTTAAATTGAATTTGATGATCCATCCTTATTCGGCATATATAAACTAGACAGAACTTGCTAAAGCTGATCAGTTGATATAACAAGTCAGTTTTATTTGCACTTTTTCGTGCTGCTGGTCGCAGATTCTAGATCCCTGATTATATTGTGGGATAGTTCTACCCTTATTATGATGAATCTTTTTCATACTCCACGTAGATAAAAATGTTGGAAGAACGTCGAAAGAAGATCGAAGAACTACGAGTAAGTGTGTGAATGCATATGAATAGTTTGTTCGGAGCGTACTCGACTAACCTACTGAACAGAATATGAAGCTTAACAATGAATATCGATAAAATATTGTCGTTTCGCATGTGATAACACAAATCTCTCTCGACCTAATCAGTTGATAAGCTTCCTTTCTAATTTTAGCGTAAAGCTGAAGAACGAGCAAGAATTATACGTAATCAATGGGATCTTCGCTTTCGGCGTGAATCCGTGGACCAAGACGAGTCAGAAAAGTCAACGGATCGGGTAAGCTAATAACTGAGGATGTGAATTGCTCAAGAATGGCTCCAATTACGACTGGCTGTTTATATTCAATTTTCGTACATTCACCAATAAAAACCACAACTAAATGCATCTTTCTTTTCAGAGTGAAATACGTCTCGTTGGTTGTCCGCCTGTCGGCATGCAGAAAAACCACTGCGTTGATAATAAAGTCCAGTAAGTGAAACCATTTCAAAAACAGATATCATACGAAATAGTACAACTCACCTTTGCGAGCTTCTTCCTGTAATCACACTTCGGTCATCTCACCGCCATACTCGTTATACACTATATCACCATATTGGAACCAGATTGTGTGTAGAATGTTGAGAACAACAAAGGGATAGAAAATCATTCCATTGGTGCGACAGGTCAACAAGAGGTATTTAGACAAAATTAACAAAAGGGAATATGTTTACTTGCGGGGTTTCCGATCAAATTGTGAGGTGAAATTAAGAAACAATAATGGATGTTTGATAGGCCTCGTCACAAAACCATGTCGTATTTTCTAGGGACCGGGTAATAATACAACAGGATATGTATTGCTTATATCACCGAATAGATCACCACGTCAAGCGATGTTTGCTGAGACCGTTAGTGAGAGGAAAAAGCGAATGGCGGTCTAACTGAGATCAGGCATGAGAATATGAAAACCGTAACCAGGACACTGGATCACATAGGTCCTGGATAGAGACCCCGAGATCATAGTAACCGATGGTTGGAGATATTGAGTGATGTGATCGAGTGTCGCAAACGGTGGCGCTCGTGCATCCTCACAATTTCTTTGCAACCTTATTCTACTGAAGTTCTCCATTTTTTCTTCGACTCTTCTTTCGTCTCTTCTTTCTCCTACTGCTTATTCTAAATGGGTAACCATAAGACAGCAACCAAAGCCGCCGCACGAAAGTGCACGGTTAATGGTTGAACAAACCGAACTGAAATGAACAGTTTAACAACTTCGGAAACTCTTTCAATTTAATCGGCAAGGCACTGGACATCTTGCTGCACGATTTGAGCCATAAATTTGGCAGTCAACAGTGTTATTCAAAAGTTTGCCGTTATGTATTGCTCACCTTTCAATGTATTTCCGACAGAATGCTATTATCAGTGCGGAATGTTTCCGATCAAGTCACACCCCTTGAGGCTAGTGCTAAGGTGAGCTAGATAAAAATACCCGAAATCAGCTTACAAAAGGGGTTTGTGGCTTCAGTCGATCAGCTGCCCACTGATCGAGTGTCCAATAGGCTTGCTTTCTGACCCCCAGTGGGGCCGATGGATTTCTCACAAAGTTAAGATAGTTGTGCAGCACATCTGAGCTTTCTAGCCCTGCCTTCTTTACTAATTATATAACGATTTCGCTCTATATCGTGGAACTACAACTATATAGTGTGGCTTGCGTGTAGTTCATACATCAACTGGATAGAAAAATGTATGCCATTCTTATCAGAAAGGTTTACCGAGATGTACGAATTTACACGCCAAAATTTAAACTATACGTATTCCTCGGTGTCTAGCCGGCGAGGATTCCTGAATTACAACAACAATCGGATGAAAACGTTTAATGCTTATCTAATATGTTTATTTTAGGCCAAATATATCTTCAGTGTAGCATAAACTGTTATTTATAATTGTGCATTCAGCAGGGTATCACTATCCTTGAGAACGATGCGTACGAGACAAAAGAGATCACCTGAAGTGACTGTGAGAAGCCCTAAATACCAGTCGTTTTCACGGCTTCATTTAGGCTAGACATTGGGCCGTTTTCCACTTGTGATACTTTGTTAGAAGAACTCTGTATTTATTGACGGTCGAAACCTTTTAAGCACTTTCTTCTCTTTATTAGAATGAGCAAGGAAGTGAGTCGAGGGCTGTTCGGAATAGCCAAGTGGGAATTTCACAACTTAGCCTCAACCAATTTCATTTATCGTAAGATGAAACTAAGTCACTGCTTCAAACATCGATAGATTCTGTCACTCCAGGCCGTGGGGGGGGGTTATCGAATTTGTAATCCATATTTAGAATGAAGAACTTCTGAAAAGGTTACCCCTTGTTCAAAATAAATTTTATCATAAAATTTTTCAACTGTAAAATATTTATTCAGATTCCTTTTAAATATAGATAGTTGAGTTGGAAATATCCTGTCATCTCATAAATATTTCCAAACTGATCATTTTGATTGTTTAATGCCTGAAATTGTATCGATTTTTCCACAACTGTAGCAAAGAACTGATATACATCAGAGTAGTGGAGGATTTGGTTTGATCATCTAGTTAATTTTGCTGTGTTATTATTCATATACTCAAATTCGGTCATGATTGTGCGCATTTAGCAAGAAATCATTCAAAAAGCTACGGGGAGGCTGTGATTACATTTATCGCAGTGCTTATAAGTCAGTAATACGAACATATGATTGGCTGGATAAAACTTAGCTGATTGTGGTGACATGTGGACAACAGGAACAGTTCAGTTCAGTTTGTACAACCTTTAACCGTGCGCTTTCGTCGGGTGGTTTTGTTTGCTGTCTTTTGGCTGCCCATTTAGATGAAGCAGTAGAAGAACGACAGGAAAGTAGAAAGTACAGTAGAAGAGAAAATGGAGAATTTCAGTAGATTAAGTGTGCCAAGAAATTGAGAAGATGCACGAGTGCCACTGCTTGTGACACTCAGCCATATCACTCAGTATCTTCAACCACCGGTTACCATAATCTCGGGGTTCCTACCCAGGGGGCCTGGTTGTTCAAACTGAAACTGAAACTTTTCATAAGCTCATTCTAGCTCTTAGTTTGACCGGCCTTGACTTTTCCCACCCACTAACTGCCTCGACAAATATCGCGCGCCGTGGAAACCTATTTGGTGACATGGACAACACATATCCTAATCAGCGCAATCTGTGGAGGTCAGTCACTTGCTAGAGTGGACGACTGCGATTACCTTAAACTCTCCGTCTAGCCTCTGCATTGCTTGTCCAGTTTCCCAGTCGGGATCGCTCAATGCGACGTAGACAGCGGTGTTCGAACAACAAGAACAGACCAGCACATGACGGTGTGAGACCAAAGTGTAAAAGAATTATCTGAACAAATTTCAAACGGAGTGCCTAACAAGCTCGTTTTCAGTTATTCGCAATCATACTAATACGTTACAATATTTCATAATAAATAGTATGTGAATGACTGGAAAAAATTTCCCTGGAAGCACACGACCGGTTTCGCGGTTCTTGTCGTTCGTTAGGCATGCGTATCCGGTAATCTTTTGTCATTTCATTCATATATGTGTACCCAAGAAGTGTATTTTCGGCTAGTAACATCTAACCCACCTACAAAATAATCCACGTCATTGATTTAACTTGAAACCAGAAATCAGATTCATAATGATAATGGAGTTGTTGTTGTTGTTCACTCATCTGATCATCGACACTACTCGAGATGTGGGGTGAGCCAGGGGAGCTAAAGCACCTGCACAAATTGTTTTGGGGTACACAAAGGGTAGTTATGCAAGCGAATACCTAGCGCTAGTAACCAACTGCGAACCTGCTTTTATAAATGACCATGAGCCTTATACGGGTGACGGAACACCTCGGTTACGTTCACAGTGTAATTTGCTTCAGCTAGGTGTGAAATCAATGCACTATAGTGAGTGACTTAATCATTCCGGTGTTCAGCCACGCAGGGTTGTCTTAATCCGTTTGGACAATCGTTTGATCGTGCGGCCTATATACATCGTACACAGGAACAATGAGTATAAATGAGTACACGCGGAGTGAGATTGCATAGTCAGGAAGTTTATCCTTCAATCGTAAACACTCAATGCACTTGAACAAGACACGAAGGTTTCATACAAAGTAAGTTTTGTCGATTGCCTTGGATAATCTCCTTCGTATGAGCTTACCTGATGCGGAAATTGAGAGTTCATACTCAGAAAAGGGCATTTTTGAAAACATTCAAATTCTGATAGGAGTGTATCGAAAAATCGATGCGCCATGTGTTGTTTTATCGTGAATGTTAATGTTATAGTGTTAATAACACAGCGATGTCGGTAGAGAATTAAATTCGCCGACGTTTCGGTTACCGTGGGTAACCGTTCCCAAGGCAGGTTTTACAATCAAAACTTACGCTATTTCAATCACAGTTGGTTTGATAGAGATATCTCATACCGTTCTGGATGTATGGGTAAACTGGCCATTTTGATTGTTCAGTACCTGAAGGGTAGAATTTTTTGTTGACGCTTTTGTGGTGATAACAGTGTCCAACAGACTGGGTGTGAATCTGGTCAACACTGATGCGTATACAGATCAAGCATATTCAGTTGGTGTCTCAATGCAGCCGCTAGAGGTGTAGCTTATGAATTCTATTGCCACATCATGATGTAAAGAACGGCTCAAGCGTTGATCGCGCATGATTCATTGGTACGAGTGGAACCTTGCCCAATATGACTTTTCAAGGAGACGGAGACGAACACACGCACACAGACGCGTTCGCATACTAACAAGGGAAGCAATGAAGACATGTCATGGAAATGGGGGGAGTGAGACCTGGGCATGTCTCAAAATCTTCAGCTCCGTGCAACATGGTGGTCATCCAGACATTGCTGAAAGGTTTGAAAAATACAGTGCGATTGCTCCATCATTTTCGATCGTCTCGTCCCTCTCACCCGTGACCTTAAGTAAATTCCCTTTGACCCCTAATGTGATCTGATTGGATCCTATTCCGCGATCTGCGGCGCTTAAAATCTCCCACCCCAACAAGAGACTGTCTGATTATCGACTTGTACGTTTTGGAGTGCTCTTGTTGTTACGTCCAATTCATCCGAGTGCTGATGGCACACCTGCTACACAGTCGAAGTTCACTGGGCCTGCCTGAGACTCACAGTTGTAAAAAAAAGGTGTGATTTCTCGCTCGGGTTAGCTGGGCAAGCACCAGGTCCCTTGTTGCGGCTGAACCATTCGGCCGATCGATAAAGGAACACGATCGGTCGTGTGATTTTCGGGCCGGTACAGGAGGAGGATAGGTTCCGAATCCGATGCAGCTTGTGTTGGTAGAGAATCACCCCAAGAGAATCAGTTGTGGAGCGGCGCGCCATGTGGGGAATTCCGAATGGAAAATGCTTAAGCGATTATGACACTGGGCCAACACTCGACTCGTCTAAGATACACGCACGATTTTTCGAAGCGGGTTCGGTAAATAGATAATCATAATAAAACTTTGAATAATAATAACGGACAATAATATCCCCTAATGTAGGCCCACGCAAAACTCTTCTTGATTCTTTTCAAACTGGTTGTTTTTGCGTTGACCTGGCTAACTATCTCAGAGATATAATTCCGAAAGAAAGAAAGAACACATATTACGAGAATAATTATGTTCATATAATAAAAGATGTTCCACATGTTTTCCATTCCGCTGCTTGCATAGCAAATTCCGGTGAAGATGGTTTTCTTCCACCTTCAGAATGGTAGCAGTTGGAATACTTTCACACTGCGCCACAATACTCTGTTTAAGTTCCTCGATAGTTCTCGGCTTAAGATCACGGGTGAGAGGGACGAGACGATCGAAAACGATGGAGCAATCGCACTGTATATGAGCCTGGCAGCGCTGATGAGGTCAAAGAGACAACTTGAAATTATATCCGGACAGAAATTCCTTGCAAAGATCGATGTGATAAATCGGAGCTAGCCTTGTTTAGTGTTCTCATTGCGAATCTTTCCCTAACCTATCCGCTAGGAGACGAATCAGTTTCCTTTTTACCTTAAACGGTACAAAGCTTCCGAAGTGGATGTGCTGGTCTTTCGAAATTGAGCTGAACGCTGCACCGCATTGGGTCGCCTCATTTATCTACACCCCACAGTCGGACAACACAATTATAAACCAATCATCTGATGAGATGGTGAGATAAGTGAATACCACGCTTCATTATTTGGGGATGTTGGCGTGCGTGAATTTCCACTTGTTGCCTTTCCTACCAGAGTCAGGAATGTGCATCGGAGTGCGCACACAAATGCGATTGGTGCGCGTACCCGTGTGTGCGAACGAACGGCAGATGAACTAACTGTGGTCCGACGAAGCGGGACGATATCAGTGTCTCTGTATGTGTCTGCTGTGTATTTAGCTAAACAAAGAAGCAGCTAAACGCATTGGCTGCATTAAATAAACTGACTTTATCATCCATTAACAATCAATTGTATCTGAGACTTGCCCGATTGCATTACAATTTTTTATCTCATATCAAACGAACTATAGTACGAACCATTCATGACAATTCCCTGAGTTCCGAGCATTGCGTCGTTATGCCAACTCGTATTTGGACCTATTATTCTGGGGTGGCCTCATGAAATATGTTCTCACTTTTCATTCATTTTCAGTGAATCAGAGGCAGTCACCAATGTTTTACCAACCCCATCCATTAGTATGGTTCTAAATAAGCTGAATGGTCACCCAACAAACCCGATCACACCATCAGCAAATGTGGGTGCATCTCAGGATAATGGGGGTCCGGGGGTCAATCACTCGGGGACCGAAGATGAGGACCAATCGATGACAAGTTCAATTACTATTGAGGATGACAGTGTTTCCAGTTCTCTGGACGTTTATTCATCGAAACGCTGGTAGGTTCATTCTCCAAGAAAATTCCATACCATACATGCCATTTCCTCATTTACATCATTCGCCATTACAACAAATGTTAACTTGTCCCGGTATTTGAAAAGAGTTTACATTGTTGTACTTTCTGAAATTTGAGATAATTTGATCCGGATTAATGATTCCAAATATTTTTCCTGATTCACAACAATCGGCAAGATCCATCCCATTTATGATTCAGAAGTCAATAAATTCCGGATTGCGTGAAAGAAAAATGACTTTGTTTTACATTTTGAACAGCTAAGTTAGCATCATCAGCGTTTCACCACTTGAGCTCATTTGTTTCGGTCAATAATTTTATTCCAATTATTTTTATAAGCAACGTGACTCCAGATTTGTTCTTCTACCACATTTTAGTATGGCAATTAGAAAAACAAAAAATCACATTTTACGTCGACTCAATGCCAGATCAGTCAATCAGCGAACACCATGGCAACAACGTGCAACCGATGTATCATCATCACCATCGTTATCTTCCCAAGCGGTTGAGCAGCATAAGTCTGTGAGCGCGATTAGCCGTAATCCCTCATCCCAACCGCAACAGCAGCCTTCCAGTTCAATCGTAACGACTGAACCTGTCAAATGGGATAAGAACTGTGTGGAAATTTTAGCCAAAAAGGCGTTGGAATCAACTGGGTCCTCCATGGAGCCTACGTTGACAGAAGACCAACCGGGATCACCTAGTCGAGGAGTAGAGCTTGGGAACGACGTTAGTCGTTCCAGATCAGATGTGGACCCACCTACTTCACGTTCTCAGTGGGTGACTCCGGGTCAAACAATTGTGCAAAAGTTGAGCGAAGTCCCTATCACATCGGGTAAGTGAGAAAGGGGAAACTATTAGCTGCGCGGTTTGAAAAAAAAATCATTGCAGCAATCGTATTGGTTTTAGTGGATTTAAAATGTTTAATCTTTTCCATTCCACATAGGCACAGAGTTTACTCGGATACGCGCCGGAGGTATCGCATTTGATGCTCTAATTAATGGGGAAGAAAGAATGATAACAGCTCCACCAAAAAGTAAGTCACCATGAAGCATCGAAATGCTCACTTGATACGTGAAGCAGTATTGCCGGTAGATTTTTGATAGAAGTCTGTGATAACGAAAAAATCAAGTGATGCATTTGTGTTGTAGACTTCATTAAAAATATTTTCACTGGTTTACCCCTTGAGAGTGGAGAAAAGTCTGTTGGGAATTCAGAGGTATCTCGGGCAGTGAGATCCATCATACCATAAACAAAAACGAAAGATTTTCAGAAGTAGGATGTGTGCAACTTTTTTCCATCATAGTCACTATGATTGCTTCGGAGGCTTGTCCGAATGGGGCAATCAAACGGCCATTGTTTCCGTTTCCTAGCTAGACGGATTTGTTTTTCTTTTCTCCAGTAGCCATTTAAACCGATCAATACGTTTGCAGTGGGTAGGGTTAGACAAAAACATTACAGTCGTTATAGCCTATGACCTTGGTGACTGCTCGTGTACGCTAGTCCAGATGATACAACGTTGTATGGTACAACGTAACCTTGATCGCAGTGGTTGGGGTGACTTTTGGTTAGTTTCGTCCTAGCAACCACGAATCATGTCGAAGCTGTTGCTTGCCTTAGCATTACTCGGACATTTCTATGGGCATGTGTCCGTTACCGAATAATCCATCGTGCATGTCTGTGTGTCGGACACTTCTGATAAGTCATTTCATGTTACAATTGTATCTTGCACCTATGCGGCTTAAATTTCGGAAGACCAGCTTCGGCGAGTATTGTGATCAGCCGAAATTACTTGACCAACCTGGATATTGACAATGCATATAGAAGCTGGAAACAGCTGAAAATAGGTGGGTCAAATTCGTGCCTTGGATGAACTGCAAAAGTCGCAGTTACCGCATATGATCAACGGGGGCCTATTGTGTGGCATCAGAAACCAGCTGGGATACAATGGATTAATGACAAACCTGAAAGGAGTGAAAGCCGCATGCCGGAGGTTTATTTAGACTTGATCATTCAATAAACTTAATCTGAAACGCTCGAACTGAAACTCAGTTATTCCATAATATAATGTCTCAAAATCACTTACGCGAAACTAAAAAGTAAGTTCGGCTTGATAATTTATACAACCAGATGAAACGCAGGAGATCGAATTGACCTGAGCAAATATGGTACGTTTTTGAGGCATTAATTGTCAAGACCGAAGTGATGTACCAAACCCATGTTTCACTCTCGGTCGAGGAGCAGTCATTGAAAAGCAGAACGCGTTTACACATACATCCCAAACAAGCCAGATAAACATGGCATATTACGCAAAAGCAGTTCACGAGAATGCCTGCCCACGAACCGCAAACAAGACTGTGTATGTTCACCTTCCGATCAAGTTTTGGTCATATTATTTCACAAGCGGATGCTCACCAAACAAAGTGGAAAGAGTGTGTGTGCAACACAGAGCTTCCGCGACAAGTCAAATGTAGTCTGGTTTACCTGTAATGAAATAGGTCATACAACCTGTTGCTCACAATCGGTATAGAATACACGTGTTTCGCTATAAAGCCTCTGTTGAACGTTGTAATTAGTGCCATATTTTTGCATACATGTTATTCTTCTGTTTTTTCCTTGTACTTTAGCGTATCTTTAAGATAGCTTTGGAATGTTCTAATCGTTACGGTTCGGCCAACCTAAGATGACATTCCACGCCGTAGTTACTTTAACCTCCAAGGTGTGCACTCCAACTTGACCAGATTGAGGACAACAGGAGAGCGCAATCTGGATTTTATCTACTTTTGTGCCTCCATAAAGGATTCATTTAATTGTAAGATTCTACCTACAGTCATTAATAACTTTGATCTTTGGTGTTTTCGCGTTACTGATGTTATTTTCGATCGTAGCACTCACCAACTACAGAGGTAAAGTTAGTAGTTTTGCCTCATTAGATAACTGGCAAAGTGTAGCATTTTATTCGAAACACTAGATAGAAAGAAACCTCGCTGTCGGGAGATGCGGGTATTTGAACAAAAAGCCGGCGAAACGACATTAGGGTGAACGATCGGTCGTACAAACACAAATTCCAATATTTCAAATGACCATCATATCAGCCACAATTTTCAAGTGGTCACGAATAATGGAGAAGTTAACACTGAAAATTATGCCGCCCATCTTAATTTTGCCTTTGGGGATCATTTATGAACAAAATTGATGGACAAAAATCAATTTTCCTGGAAATCTCGACTTCATAAATTGTGGTTAATATGATATATCACAGCGAGCTGAATGGCATGTCCACAAATAGGAAACGTGAGAAGACGGATCTCGACTAGGAGGAGTTAGCATGACTTGGGAAATTACCCAGTCTTTTGTAGCTTCCATTGTTCGATAAATATTCATCAAAATAAGTTTCTCGTGCCATCATGTGCCTAATTCTATTCCATCCAGGAGCATGGCAGGCATTTGTCCCGTGTGATTCACAAGAAACCAAAGCATTTCAACCCATATCAGTCGATCTGGTGACCAACCAATCGGATCAGGGGGCTACCAATTCGTCACCTACACCAGGACCCACTGGTCCGGGCGGTCCAAATGTCACCTTGCCGTCAGCTTGTATACCCGATGAGAGCACTTCTCCTAAGTACTTTGGATCTTTCGGTTCTCAGACCCGATGCGAGAGTTCCAAACTGATTCGTATGGGGACGTACCGGCTTGAACAGCCCCGCACTACAGGTGCGCCCGATATTACCACCACTAGGGGGCTATTTGAAAAGGTAAATTTTCCTTACAGTATGAGCCACGCCTTTGATTTAAAGTTATCTCTCCGTATGACCCGAAGGCATTCGTATTCATTCAGACAAATTGTTTTAGCGCTGACGCCACCAGTTTTCCGGAGAAAGCCCAGAGTTAAATCACATTTCTGTAGAAATGAACTTGGTACAATTTTCTATGTGAAATGAAAACAACACAGCCAAATCATTAATAAGTGCTAAAATCATCGAGTAAGATTGAAATATAACCTATATACTTTGGTCGTTTTTAGTTTTCATTCATCTGTCTATCAAAGGTATATTATTATTGTTTGATCAGGTGGATTTCATAGAAACCACGAATCTGAAGAAACCGACTGGGGAGGAAACGCTTATGGAGAGAATAACTGAGATATCCGACACATTAAATCGGGTATCATTGGAAAAAATTGATCACTCCCTACAGCATTCGAAGGTCAGTCGATTCATACGTCTCCAGTATCAAGTCAATTTTTCTTTCCCACCCTGCAATCCACATTAGAAACTTTTTAAAGAAAACAAACAATGTCAACGGAAATCTTTATTTGATAAGAATCATTGTTCACCGAAAAGACAAAGGAAGCCAAGAATTCCTAACGATTATTCATTCTGAAGCTTCTAACCCCGGTTTATTATGGGAAAGAAAAAAACTTCCAGCTGAATAGTGTGAATCGGTGATCATACCGATTTACAAGAAAGGCAACAGGTCCCCCTGTGAAAACCA